TATTCACTCCAAAATCTGAGAGCTGTTCTCTTGCTGTTCAAGAAATTACCCTTCAGCAATCCACGTTCCACCATTTCACATTCCAGGGGCTTCTGAAAGGAATGCTGACAATGCTTCCATTAATAGCACCGGTAATATTCCAGAGGTCCAAGGTAATTTCAACCTCAAAATCATACTACTGGTAAGATTTAACTCCATGGTTACTACATAAATGTGTAAAGTAAATCTGGGGGAGAACTCACAGGGAGAGTCGTGAAATTTGCACAAGCAATTATCCCCTTTCATGATCTGAATAATCAGTTTTTAATAAGTCATGAGCTGTGCAGCACTTTGAAGAGCAGCTTTTATGCCTTCAGAGACTGTGGTCCCAGCACTCACTGGTCTGACATAAAACAGTAACTTCATAAATTCTTACCAGTTGCTGTATCAATGCAGACCTTATTCCATACTCCTTATTTGTGTGCTTTAGAATAATAGTACTGCACAGCCTAACAAGCTTATTGAGATTATTGGGGTTTTTTTCAGACAAAAAGCTCTTCTAAATCCCAAATAACATTAAAACTATGTTTAGAAATGAACTCATTCATATTTATCAACCTCCATTAAATCTTAATAAACCTAAAACCTTGAAATAACTCATACCTCACAGCAAGAAATAAGAAATACTCAATTTCTGAAAAAGCAACCCTGTTTCCCAGCTAGATGGGGAGAGATGAGACACATGCCAACTGAAGAGCCTTCTCAACCTCTGACTGGGAGAATAAATACCTCCTTCAAACAAAACTAAATAATACAAATCAGGGTGGCAGATGCCCCATTTTTAGGTTTCAGTGCTGTTTCCTGCCATGCAATGCACTCTTGAGCTGATCAGTAGGATTCTTCACCTTCTGCTAACCAGCACCAAGACTCAATCCAAATCCATCAGCCAAACCATACTACAGAACAGCAAATAAGGATTATTTTCTCCAGCAACCAAACAGCTCTCATCGCTTCCTTCTGTCCTCACACTCTCTCTGTTAGTGAGAGCATGACTGAAGCTGCTGGGGCTGTTAAGGCTATTCTCATATACTAAAATTGTGAGCATTACAACACAAAACTTCTCTCATGAAATCTTATTTGAATCACTCATTCAAAGGAGAAGAAAACCCACTCTTCCAAGTTATACGCTGTCTTTGGCAAGGAGAAAAACAGCTAAAGGGAACAATAAAACACTTCTATGACACTATTTTTTGTATTAGATTTGCCCCTGGGCTATACAAATGTATAAAAAAAATGGGCTATATAAAATGTAGCAGACATGCAGGAAGAAAAATGAGTGATTTTCCACAAGTAGAACAAAATATATTCTCTTACACAACGATTCTTTGTACAATTTTAAAATTCCCTCAAATTTATGTAAGCATAAAAGAGAGCTTAATAACAGCACAGACTGTCCTGCTGAGAAGTAAAAAGGAACCATGTAGTTTAAGCAGACATTTGTATTTATATTAAAGCACGGAGATGAAGGGAAAAACAAAGTATTCTCTACATAGCAATCAAGGATAGATCCTATATACAGATCTGATGAGGCCCATTTCTGCGTTCAGGTCCATGACACCACTACAGCAGAGTTCTTCCACACTCCCCCTGCCTTGCTGTACAGGTTATACAGTCATTTTACTGAAATATAGAAATCGGTTTTTAACGATATATTACCTTTTGCTATACTGTAAACTCCTGTAGCAAGCCTGAAGAATAAGAGGTGTTTGCTGTCTTCACCTCTCTAACCATTTACAAACAATAATGACTATCTAGGAAGCCACCAGCTGTGGACATTACAGTGTTCAACTCGCTCCTTTGCTCACTCACAATTTCCATCACCATAAACACCACAGATTCATTTTTTTCCTTTCATACCCTGTTTTATTTTAGGCACTTATCTATTATTGCAGTAGATATAACAGATCCATGAAGAGGGCACAGTCTCATACCACAACAACATGAAGTTTCCATATGTTTTGTGCTGATTTCCTTCTGTTGATCCCCCACATTTATCCTTTCATTACATGGAAATTCCCCTGCTGCAACCAGGAAAGCACAAGCTGCAAACCTCCCACACTTGCCCAACTCAGCAAAGGTATTCTGGAATCCTACAGATGATGATCAGATCAGGGCCTACAAGGATGCTGGAGAGGGACTCTTCACTAGGGGCAGTAGTGATAGGACAAGGGATGATGGGTTCAAACTTAAATAGGGTAAGTCTAGGTTAGATACAAGGAAGAAATTCTTTATTGTGAGGGTGGTGAAACACTGGAATGGGTTGCTCAAGGAAGTTGTGAATGCTCCATCCCTGGCAGTGTTCAAGGCTAGGTTGGACAGAGACTTGGGTGACATGGTTTAGTGTGTGGTGTCCCTGCCCATGGCAGGGGGGTTGGAACTAGGTGATGTTAAAGTCCTTTCCAACCCAAATCATTCTATGATATTCAGTAGGAAAGTTCTATTTCCACAACTAGATACTAAAGAAAGCACAAACTGAGACAAAACTACCAGTCACTGGCATGCACTGATAAACTTTACATAGAATTGTTGTTCAGGTTTAACATTACTCATAAATGCTGAGTAATCCTCCTGCTGACTAACTAAAAGCCAAGCTAAGGGTCAATGCAGAGTTATAAATATCAGCATACATTTAATCTGAAATTTGCATATGATGTGCAAATCATAGAATCCCAGACTGGTTTGGGTTGAAAGGGACATTAAAGCTCATCCAATTCCAACTCCCTGCCATGGGCAGGGACACCTTCCACTAGACCAGGTTGCTCCAAGCCCCTGTGTCCAACCTGGCCTTGAACACTGCCAGGGATGGGGCAGCCACAGCTTCTCTGGGCAACCTGTGTCAGAGCCTCAGCACCCTCACAGGGAAGAACTTCTTCCCAATATCTCATCTCAATCTCGCCACTGTCAAATGATCCATGGGGGCTTCCAATAAACACTGATTACTCAGGACCGTATTTACTATGATATTTCTTCCTCACTGCTTCTGCTTGGACAATAAATCTCAATGCAATCCCTGAAAGAGGTAATTACTGCAAACCAGAGCAGCATCCTACCCTTTCCCAGTAAAGGACGTGTTGGCACAGGACAGGACAAGACTCTGTGGCTTTCCCGCCATATCAGAGGGCACCAGTTTGTATGATCAAACCCACACCAAATATGGAATTCTTAATAAAGATCCATATTTATCACCAGCACTCACCATATGACAAAATTACATGCTGCCACTTTGGGTTGCATGCAATTGAAGCACAAGCGCCAAGTGGCATGTATTCTTCAAGATATAAAAAGCAAGTTAGGAGTGCCAACTTCAATTCATGCCTTTGTAAAGTTGACAAAATGAATCTTATCTTAAGCATAATTTTCAAAAGAATGCTAAAAAGCAAAGATGGACATACAAAAGGAGGTGGTGCTGGTTTAGCATCAGCTAAAGCAGAACTGAAGGGGAAGTTTAACGTATCAACTTGGAAGCACCATGGATCAGAATCCATGGGAAGTCAAAGTACAATTCCTTCCTCCGCTGCTAGAGCCCATCACGTAAGTCTGCAAATTCATGCTATTTTATAAATAATAAAACCAGTTTGGGGATGAATATCTAAAAAAGTACCTATCATTGACAATAACGCAGAACTTTATAATTACAGAACTTATCTTTCATCAACTTGGAAGCTTTCAGATTCCTAATGCTTTTAAGTGACGAGGATAATTTTGTCAGTACAGCACCACATCAAACTGGGCCATCTGTTAAGAAGTATCATTAAGACATCCAGCCTCTGAGGGACAGAGAAGCAACATTTGCTGCTTGCTTCAATAGTACAGATGTTTCTAGAAGCTGTTGAACAAAATTAATGCGTATATTCTTGGATGCAGCAAGCAGTCTCAAATGTGCTGGCTCCTGCAACCACGTGCATCTGCTCCAGTTTCAAGGCATTAGTCATTATTTAACTATGCCTATCTATTAATTCATATTTATTGGCTAAGGGAGCGATTCAGAGCCCCTTCATTGGCATCTACCATGACACTGCAGGAATTACCCACAGGCAAGACAAGTGGGTGCATCTCTAAAGGCTGACACCCAAGACCTGCTCTGAGACCAGGCTCCCCTTAAGCTCAGCTGAGCCTCCGCACCAAGGGAGACATGCAGAACAGAGGCACAATACAGACACACAGAGACAATAATCATCCCACCACCTTCCACCCAACAGCTCACTGATTACAACACACTAAGAAGAAAGCTTGTTCCAGTTCTCTAGCCTTGGGATACCTGCAATTCCTCATTTCAGGGCATTTCCTCAACTAAGATTTTACCTATGGCTTGTTCAGTCTGCTCCACCACCACACAACCAGGAATCACCAGGGCTGAGAGGGAACCAGCAAGAGTACCCTGCATCTCAACACCCTATTTCAAGGGGGAAAAATGGGATTCTGGGATCTAGGGCTATTTTTTTATGTTTATTCAGCAATTGTCCAGCTTAATTCCTGAAGGAATCTTAGCATGCTCAGATCTAAATCAACTTCAAAATATCCATCAAACTGGAATCTTAACATTATTATTGTGATTTTGAAACAGAGAGCTTAAAACCCCATTTCCAAAACCCTGTATATTTAGTGCAGTTGCAAGTTTATGCAACATAAAATGCCTCTTCCTCAAACAGAACTTCTTCCTAATGGGAATTCTTAAGAGATACTAGGCCCTTTCTCCTCTAACTCTTCCTTTCCTCCCTCTCCAAGTCTTTTCGCCCTCTCTTTCCCCCTCTCTAATTCAGAGCAATTATTATTCAGCATTTTACCTAGTAAGTCTTCAAACCAAAAGAGTATCACAGACTGGTTTTACATGAAGGTAATTATAGAATCAGGTTTATAGAGGTACCTAATATCTCATTAACAAGGAATCATTCCTTCCAGTGTACCCCCCTGTTGAGACAGCAATTTATGTTCCCTCCAAGCATGCACAGTCTCTGTCTTACCTCTACAAACACTGCAACACTGGTTCTCTGGAAGAACATGATCTTGTTCTGAGCAATTCAGGGGAGGACAAGTCTCTGTTACTTTTACTAAAACTCCATTCTGAAAATAAACAACATTTTTATAACATTACACTGATGAAAACACATGCAATGGCAAACATCACATATTTTCCAATCTATAACACTAGTAATCTCTAGTAACAACACTGGTAAACGGGCAGACAGCAAGTTAAATTCATTCTTTCCACCACAACACCTTACCTGAAGTTATCTATTTAGACAATTCTCTGCCCAGCCTTGAAAGAAAAGGAATTAGAAGGGGAAAAAATAAAAAGGTACGTAAGCTCAAAATACTACAGTAGTTTTTCCAAATGTGTTTTCTCCAAGTGCAGTTTTTTTCCTTCCAAGTATTTGAAGGAACTAAAGAATTTCACTCCAGGATTTTGTCAGTCTTCCTGCTTTAACACGTCCAAGTTTGATTCCTCTTGTTTCATATTCTACATAACTCACTGATAAGTTATTGAACTCCAACACAGCAGAGAGAAGTCAACATTTTTCATGTCGTGGATTGTTCTGCTGCATCCGATTAAAAGGGTCTGGTCTTTAGAACAACCCAACACCTGATTTCCACAATTTAGGTCCCTCAAAGGCATGGCAAAGCAGAAATCCCATACTGAGGCATCCACATAGGAATTGCTGTATAAAATGGAAATCAAGGTCGACATATTTTGATTTCTGTTTAATTTAGAATAAGCCTGAGCGTGGGAGGTCTAGTCGCTGGTAGAGCCTTTCTGGGGAGATTGTAAACCAAAATTTACTCCATCTTCTTCCCATCACCTTTTTTCCAGACCAAACAGCTGTCCTGCTTTAGTTAGTTGTTTCTTAACATCTTGTCCCGAAATAGTCTTCTCCCCAATCTCCCCTCCAGCCTTCCCCAGACCATAATTTACCTCTCCAACATCCCTTCTACAGCTATGCCATCACTGCAAACTGGCAAGGGGAACACAGGTAAACAACAGGAGTTTTGCTCAGTAGGAGCTGCAATAACTATCCCACAGGATTGTCCACACCCAACTAATCCTGTTTTCCGAAGGGCTGTGAAACTCCACTTAGAAAGCAGGCAGCCTGCTATATTGCCAATACACCTTTTTAATATTAATCTAGCCCCCATTCCTCCCGAAATAGTTTTCAGGATGCCACAGCTGTTGGAACATAAAGATGGAACGAGAGTTTCTGCTTTCTTCAGAGAAATAAATTACCTTTTCTAGATATCATGATTGCAGAGAAAAGGTTAAAAATATGATTCAAATAGACCTAGGGCTAAGAAAGCAGGAACCAATACCAAAAGAAGACAGAATATGTTATGAAAGTCACCATTCTCATAATCTGAGGGATCAGAGAAGTGATTTTGAACAGAGGATATTGAAAACACCCATGTGTCTCCTGTGTTTGAAGAAACTACCCTACACAGAGCCACCCCTGCTAGCCAGAAGCAGCTTTTGTATCTACAAGACACTGTGCCACACTGTGCCAAAACACTAGCTCAGGTGCCAGAACCAGTCCAGGTCAAAGCCTTGCTGGTGATGAGCCTCCTGAGCCATGCCATGCTGCTTCAGCTTTGTCACTGCAATCTCCAGAACGAGCTCTCATAGCATCAAGCCGCCCTACTCAGTTCTGAACGTAGAAATGCCTGCTCAGCCTACAGAGTGCAAATGATGCACAAAGTGCTCGGCAGCTCCCAGGACTTGGGACTGAGAAGAGCAGCAGACCTGGGGAATGCAAACCTGACCATTGCTACTCACTGCCACTACCACTGCTGCTCACTGCCCTGAGATTGCAGTCTTAAGGTGAAGCAGCAGCAAGTCATTTTTCTCACTGCCCAATTGTCTTCACTGGCAAGTTGCAGCAGTTGCTGTCAAGAAAAAGCATATAACAAACCCCACAGGCACCAGGTTTTCCAAAAGCAGCTATCCACAGCATCACATTCAGCATGCATCATTGAAGCAAGTGCCCACACAAGAACAGCAGAGTTAATGGAGGCATTAGGTCTCCTGATTTCACTTCCATAAGTGAAAGGGAGGAATCCCCTATGGTTGCCTGTGCAATTGCAGCAGCAAAAGTGATAAAAGAACCAGACACGCTGAGCCATCATTTACTATCATGTTATCAAACTACCAGCTGGAAAAGCTCTGGCTATAACTCGTCTCCTGTTCAAGTTCAGACCAGACAATTGCAGCAGCAAGGGTACAGTAAGTCAACATACGGACAAAAAGCTCTGAGTGACAACAGATCTGGTCAAAAAGATGGCAAGAAATCATATGAAAGTCAAATCAGTGATCAGGATGAGATAAATTCAATCCAAGCTCACGCCTTCTTTAGTGAATCATAAGGAGATGAAAAAAAAAACCCACACAAATTGAGATTTCCCTTTATTTAATGACAGGAAGATTTTCTTTCCCAGGTTTCACATTTTCTGCAAAACTTGGGTCTTGGGAAAACAAATCAAACGTATTTGTATAATTAAGTTTTAAAACAATTAAAATGTTTCCATGTTGAGTATTCTTTGGAATCAAATCAATTTGTTCTAAGCTAGTACAGATCCAATTATAAGAATTATCATCATTATATTTCAGATTTTATCCACTGAGATTAAGCACAAAGAGTTCACACTTTAGCACTATTGCTTCAGGCAGCCTTAGAAAAATTACTAACTTTTTATACTCCATTCACATCTGTAGTCCTAGAATCTGGACAGAAATAGATGTCAAAAAGACATTCTTCTGAAATAAATAGGTCAAGCTCCAACTGTGACATCCAATCCACAAAAAAATGTGATCTGGAGTCAAACATTTACAACAGGATAATTCCATTTCTTGTCATTACAAAGGTAAGTACATTAAAAAGAATTGGCTATCAGCCTAATTAGAGAAGACAGTGTAAATGTGAACCACAAACAGCTCAGCTCAGATGATGAGCTCTGCAAAATAGCAAAATTTCAGATAAGGTTACTTGGGAATTTTGGTTGTTGTTTGGGGTTCACCTCACACACACACTCCCCACCCTCCCCCTTGTTTTAGCTACTATTAATCAGCCTTTCAGGAGAACGTTCAAGGCACTGTCCTCAGTTGAGACCCTGGGAACCACATTTTTCCTTATCTTTATAAGGAAAAACTTTTTAGTCCAGGTTCCTGAAAGCCAGTGGAGCCCTGACCAGCTGGGAATGGCTGCCCATCAGTTACACCTGTGCTTATGGTACGAGGATGTGCTTCATTAATACATTTTCAGTCTGGGTTAGTTTTCAGAAATTAAAAAAAACCCCTGCACACAGCCTGATAAAGAAAATCTTGGCTCTATCTGGATCCATCAATAAATCTAATGGTACTTTTGTTAGATGGAAAAAATACAAAAGTTAAAAGCCTCTTAAGCTTGGAACAGAGCCTGTGCAAATAATAACGTATCTACCTACAAATAAAGATTTAAATGTGAAATTTCAACTTGACTTTTTGGTATTACCCCACCTATAAATACATCCTCCTTTATAAACACAAGAGCGACTCGCTGAGATTTTTAAGTCATCTTTATCAACACTAATAAATTGACAGTTGATGCCTACCCTCTATGGGTGAGGAAATCGGGATTCTCAGCAAAAGGGGATTTACATGACCACATCTGACCACAGATCAGATTTGACCAGGGTGTAAATGGAGACCCACTGGAGAGTCATTTTGAGCTGGTCCTCTTTCAGAGCAGCAGGTCTGCAATCAGGGACCCTGGGGTCGGGACGCTGCCCAAGGAAATCCCTCAAGGTTCGGAGCCCTCCTTTCATGAGCTGAGTGATTGTGCATTTGGTATCACTGGCCATGAACTTAAAGACTCGATTCTTGAATCAGTAGTGTAGCGACAAACACATGTGACATCCCAAATCTGTAGCTGATGTTGATGGAGCTTTAATTGAGTTTAAACAATAAATTTCATTTTACCTCAATTTACTGGTTCTGTGACAGCACCCACTTAGAAACTCTGAGTCAGAATGACAAGATTTGCCAGTGAGGTTTAATGTCTTATTTGAACACAGCTCTGAAAATACCAGGTTGGTTTTTTTCCTTTTCTTTTTGAGGCATGGACCCACGTTTTTCATGGCATCGCATCCACACATGCTGTTTCACATACTTATCAATAGTCTCCATTAAGATGTAAATAATACAAACAGCAACGTTGTTGCAATTAGCATTGCCATATCTATTTCCTTTAACAACGACCAAAATGCACAAGTTCTTTCACTGTTATTTTAGTACTTTCTAATATGGCAGATATTTGATGGTGAGTATTCGTTAATTCATTAACATACTCATAATGATAATACAACACTTTCACTTAGAGCACAGAGAAGTTCCACAGATGACATTCAGATCACTCTGGTTTTACTTTAATGTGAAAATCCTCCTCTTCTCTTCCTATTTTATATAGGCACATTCCCTGCCAAATAAACATTCCATGTCATATTATAAGTAACAGGTATCTTAGTCTCTCTTCAAGGCAATGACCTTGCCCACATATTTGTATATACAATGTTGAGCACCCCTATACAGCTAAACACTAACAGCAGCAAAGTGATTCTGCATAACAAGCTGCTTTCACATCTGCAACCAGTTATTGTCCATTTCCATTAGCAAACATCAAATTGCTACTCTGTACACTCAGCTACAAGCACAACAATAACCAGGTCATTTAATCTTTGTCAGTGCTCTGATATTCACTAACACTCCCTGAATGTTCCTATCTAACACAGCCTCCATTTACATGGGTTCTAAATACTGACTGTAGCTGTCTTAAGAATCACAAACTTGCCAAGGCAGGGCCCAGTCAAGTGCCATACTTAGCAATTTACCTCCATTATTAGGAGGGCTACATACAGTTAAAATAATCCTAGGGGAAATATAGAGTAACTCAAACAATATAAGGTGGGTTGCTTCAAATTTTAGCAACTTTGCTGAGAATTAGTAACCGCTTCAAGATGCTGATGCTTTTTTCTAGGGTTCATGCAAGTGGGGATCGAAGAGAAAACATCTTTCCAAGTCATCTTGCCCACATTTTTATTACCATGCAAGGGTCATATCCTTGCCTTGTCTTTGTATTTGTGGCTTTCACTGACTTCAAGGTCACCTTTTCAAGACAACAGATGTCACATTTGCAGGAAAGAAGCCTGAAGAAATGCACTAATTTATCATTGTCACTTCTGAACACTACATACACATTTAAAATCAGGAAAAGTATACAGAACCAAAACTTACTCGACATTCCCTGCAGCTCTTGGTTAACACTCGTTGACCTTCTGCCAGCACTTTGCCTCCATAGATACACTTGGCTGTAATTGGAGAGAAGAAGGAGGGAGATTAAACATAAATAAATCAGTATCTAAGTTGAAAACAAATCACAATCACAGAATGGTGACAAGAGTCAGAAGGGACCTTAAAGCTCATCCAGTTCCAACCGCCTGCCACAGGCAGGGACACCTTCCACTACACCAGGTTGCTCCAAGCCCTGTCCAACCTGGCCTTGAACTCTGCCAGGGATGGGTCATCCCTGGAATTCAACAAAGCTTTAAAAGTTTCCTGAGAAAAGGTATAGGCACAGTGAAAGTGGAAGTACTGAAAGCACTCAGTTCTCCAAAACAGTCCCAGACTATCTAGTAACTCTTTCAACTCAATTTCTTTCCTAAATACTAAGGGAAGGGAACCAAGCTCTTACAGGTACATGTGTCCTCCCTTTATGGGTGATGCCAAAAGGAGTCTTCCACAGCAGCAACTGTCACGGCCAGTTTGATTCCAAAATTTTAAACATGAAGGACTGCTAGATGAATCTTCAGAAACCTTCAGACATAAATTTGCTTCTAAGGACTTTTAGTTTCAACTTACACTCTTGATAATCCTCATCGCTTTAAGGAAAGATTAAAAACCCCAAAACACAAGAGCACAAGGTTTTCAGGAGAAGCCAGTTTTCATCAGCAACTCACATTTAAAAAACAGGCTTCTTGCTTTTGGCATCCTCATTTTCCTAAAGCTGCCCTAGTTTTTATGCCTGACTTGTTTTGATCACACCTATGAAGAAAACTTCAGATCAGGAAGCTTTGTTTAAATTAGAAATCTCAGTAACTATTTTTGGGAGAAGATGATTACGAGAATTTTCCTTTTTCTTCCTGCCTATTCTCCTAACATCACTGCTTTTAACAAAAGAATGGATGCACCAGACAGCAAGTTAATGCACAACTCAGAAAAATGATGAGATTTCAAACAAAATTATAGTCTTTTGTCAAATATGAGTTGAAAGGCTACACAAGATGGCAGGGATCAAAACAGAATCACCTCATTTTTAAAACCCTTAACATGTCAGATATTAGAGCTACTCTGCTCGTTAACCCTCAGCTAAGATGGGAACCTGTTCAAGAATCCAGCCATTCACTAATCCCTAGAGACAGCAAATTACAACTGATGATTCTATCAGAGCTAAATAGGAAAAGCACAGAGAAATTAACACCTGCAGTGCAGCTCTTCGGAAAGCTTCAGCAATTACTACCAGCTACCCAAAAGTGACTGACTCTGGCCTCAGCACATCATTCTGTCAAGGAGCTGGCATTTACAATCAATTTCAATCAACTCCCATACATCTCTTCCCATTGACTGACATGCTGAGTTCTCATCAGAATAACAAGTCAAGTTTGTGCCAATCACTGACAAAAGGCAAGTTTGATTGTTCATCTTCCCATTACAAATCACAGGAACACAGTTTACTCACAGGGATATATGTGGAATCTACAAGTTTGTGTCTTATGACTCCTTGGTGTCAGATTTTGTCCAGTGTGCAATACATGCATGTCAGCAAAGGAGTGGCAAGAGAAGCACCCAGATTCATGAAAGAACTTTCTAGACTCTCAGCTTTACAAATACCAATATTCTGAGACAAAATCTGCAGGCCAGCATGGCCACTTCACCATCCCAGCACTTTGATCATAAGCATCTTTTAGTAAGCAGAACACTCACGCTAACATATAGCTGAGAGAAAGGATATTACATGAGTAAACAAGGGCAAGTGCAAGATCACAGCTAAAGGACATTTGTGTATGGGACTAATGAATTCAGTGACTGAAAAAGGGTGACAGAATGCTAAAGAAAGTGTTACTATTTTTTTAATAAATCTTCAAATAATTCAACATCCCTGTCTAATGAATTATGAAAACATTTATGCATGAAGTTTACTACTCTCCAAGAACTGGAGTGGGGAGGAGGGAGGGAAATACATCTATATGTGTGTATATATCATTTGTGCTTATGATAAGACTGGCATCAGTTTTCAGCTGAAATTTCCACAGATAAATTGTCTTTGCCCCATGTACTACTATTAAGGCAAAAATACTGACTATTCCTTCCAGAACATTACTTACAGCTTTCATTTCCAGAAGAAGGGACTGAAAGCTGACAGTAACACTGACCACAAAATTTACTTGTTTTTTTACTTTCTTCTCACGAGTTTATTCTGAAGTTCAACACAGCAAACTAACACTCCATGCAATGGTACTACCCCAGGGTCTGAAGTCGTCATGTTTATTTTAGACAACAACCTTCCAACCAGAAATAAGATAGGCACAAAGATAACAGCTCAGTTTATTACTCATTGCTACAGCAAGTTCATACCATAGGCTTGATGTTCCTCAACACCAGCAGGAGATAAAAGCTGAAGCCAAGTAAAAGGCTTCCCAGCCCCAAGCAAACATGAATAACTTTACACTGACAGCAGATGAAATGACAATCTCAGAAATTTGAAATGCTTCTTCATTTCTTAGAAATTATGTATTTCCTTCTTAAATCAGGTTTCCCACTGTGACTCATGCTACCTGAATTACCAGGACCTGTGAAAGCCATAAAATGTGCCTGCTTTCAGGACAAGTTTCACTGCTTAAATAGAAACTGAAAGAGGTCTGTGCGATGTACTTACCCTTGCACACTTTGCAGCACTGGCTTTCCACATGCACTGGGAGAGCATCAGGAGGACAATCCAGAGGGGGACAGGACATCCTGCGGCACTCCACAGCCCCACTCTAAGCAAAGGGGTTTAAGACAAAATTCAACTATGACGATTGTAATTAGCAAGTATTTTATACAAAACACAACAGAACAAAAACTATGAAATGAAAACAGCCTTGTGGAATACAGACCCAGCCTCCACTAACGAGCATAAACCTATCCAGCTACAAAGTTGAAACAAAATGCATCTGAAAGTGAACCATGCCGTTTTGATACTACCGTTGGTTTTCCCCACTTGCCCTGAGCAAAGCACTTTAACTGGAAAACGTTAAGTCCATCTTGACAAGAACATAAGCACCACTTTCTGCAGGCTGTGCCAATCATCTCAGAGGTTTTTTACAACCAGCATTTTAACAACCAGCATTTTCCCAAGCAAACAAAGACTCTCTTCAGATTATCAAATCATTTCAACAAGACAAGATTTACATACTAATTCTCTTCCATTCCTCGGGTTTTCAGAGTGATCAACACCAAAACCAGAATCTGCAAGTTGTTACCATGCAAGATGCAACTAAGCAGCTACGAATACTATTAAGATAATGCTGCCTTTTTGAAAAAACTACTGCAGTGAAAAGAATTCCAAACCAAACACAGACAAGTCCAGGCTTTCACCCCAAAACCAGAAAGTCCTCACAGATATAATGAGAGCAAATATGAAAGCGCTGTCAGGGGAAAGCAGATTTTATTTCTGAAGCTGCCACATGAGTGGTGCCAGGTTTTTACTGATTTATTTCACCATTTCCCTCCCTATTGTTCACACTGCCTCTGGATGCATACTAAAACCAGAATAATTCTCAGAGTTAACATTATGTATTCAAAGACCATTTCCATGTTTTAATTAGGTCCTACTCCTTCAACTCATTAGTAATTCTTACTTTGCATGTGCAATTCCTGCAGTGATCATCTTCAACCCATGAGTCTCTGTCTCTATAGATCAATCCATTTACTTGACAAGTCTTCTCACAATGACAGTCTTCCAATTGACTCAGTCTTGTTTCTGCATAATTTAACTATAAATGAAAGAAACTTGATGAGACTTCTGCAATTCAAGCACATGACTTAGAAAAGCAAATATGAGAAAGCAATTTACTTATTTTTAGCCAAGCCAAGTCTGACTGTAGCCTTCAAAACACTGAACCAGGATGTCAGCAGATGCCAACTAACCCCACTCACTGGACTTGGATGGCGCTATCCATACTAACTGACACCAGATTATGACTTGTGCAACTGTCCTTTCTGCTGTAACAAACCCCACTGAGATGGTCTCAGGAATGTCTAAGCACCACCAAAAGTACACAAACTACAGTCGTGGGTTGTTTTTTTTTAATATCTGAATTGCTCATCAACCTGGTAACACATCAGAAAGCACAAAGACTGGCAGAAGGACTTGTCCTAATCACCACTATCTCATCACTGTTAAGCAGCAGCCAGACTAATACTTTCTGACTTTGAGAAAGGTCTTAACCTTGTAATAGCCAGTGAGATTTCAAGGGGAAAGCAAGCGTAGTACAAAATATTCCCAGAGTGTGATGAATGTGATGCTCCTGGAGTAAACCCTAGGCTGGTGGGTAGCTCTTACCATGCCTTGCTGTTCCCATCACCTGCTCAATGCCAACTACTAAAATGTGTATCAAGAAGCACAAACTGATGTATCTCATAGCAGCCTTCCAATACCTAAAGGGTCCAACAAGAAATCTGGAAAGGGATGTTTTACAAGCGCACGTAAAGGACAAAGGGCAATGGCTTTAAACTGACAGAGGGGATATATTGAGGTGAGATCTTAGGCAGAAGTTCTTCCCTGTGAGGGTGCTGAGGCACTGGGCACAGGTGGCCCAGGGAAGCTGTGGCTGCCCCATCCCTGGCAGTGTTTAAGGCCAGGTTGGACAGGGCTTGGAGCAACCTGGTCAAGTGGAAGGTGTCCCTGCCTGTGGCAGGGGGTTGGAACTGGGTGAGCTTTAAGGTCCCTTCCAACCCAAACCAGTCTGGGATTCTATGAACTTTTCCAAGCGTTACACCTGCATGCTAGCAATTGCTTTGTTTACTCATGAGATACTATGCAATACTAAGAGGGGACGATGCTCATTCCTGTTGGAGCAGAAAAGAACAAGACTTTCTGAACCACCCTCTCCCAAGCCCTATTACAGACCTCCCCTTCATAAAGGTACCATCTCACCACCCTCCGAAGAGGAACATCCCCATCTATGCCCACCTTGTTCCCAGTGCCATCATCTCTTATCCCTCAAAGAAAGGCATAAGAAAATGCAGAATAATTGCAAAATTACTTTCCTACTTACTAATACTAAACATAATAAATATATAAATACAGACTTAATACTTAAAAGTAATTATGTGCATTCTCCATGCCCTAGAATTGCCACTGCTCTGAAAATTACCCTGGTGCAGCTACATGAGATTTTCCCAAGGTCTTGATTTTTTACCTTCACATGTGCCTTATGTGTATAAGTCATTAATAGCAAGGCTACCTAAGCCTGGCAGAAGACAAGTTGAATGTGTACTCTATCTGGCTATGACACATTTATCCTATATTAAAGGTTGATACATTTAAATAGTAGCAAATTTTATTAAACAAGGCATGTACAGTGCTATTTTTTACATAATGCCATAGACCAGTATTTCATATATTTCCATCCTCTGAAATTCCACCCACTTTAAATGAAAGTATTCTAATATGTCCTTTTTCTTTCATGCCTGTCAAAAAGCAACTTACTTAGGTGAAAGAAAAAGAAATATTTCTCTGGAGTCCTTATGAGAGAAATCCCTGAATAAAAGCTTTTTATTTCTCAAGTTACTACTCTGGGATAACAGGGGATTGATCCTCAGCTCCCCCAGACTCAGCATCATCCAGTGACTTCAAAACCGCTTTTTGCATTTTAGAGAGAAAACTATCCTCTTACTGAGCTGCTTGTTCCCAGTAGAAAACCTTTTCAGGTCATTGCATTTACAGCATATAAAAAAATACTCAGTTTTGGTAAAAAGGTGTTTGATTTGTCTTACCCTATTTACATATCTTGTATTTTATTTTCTTAAATGAACATTCCAAAATAAGTGGGCTGCACAGATTTTAGAAAGGACTTCAGAATTTCAGATTTGAAAGTGACACTTGTCCTAGAAATCATTTCCTAGAAATAGAAGATAGCCCAAACAGAATAAATATTTTCAATTTATTAACTTTTACTGTCATTTACATTATCTTGATAAGTGTTACGTACTTAAGAACCATTTACCTCCTGATCTAAGAAATATCTTTAAACATAGTAAATCCATCAAGCAGACCACCAGAAGAAGGCATGCACCAAGAAACCCTGTGACACACACAGGTCAATGAATGTGTCACAGCCCACAGAACCTGTTCAGAAACAACATTTAACTGTTACCTGCCCTACTCAAGTGACCAGAAACATTCTCTTTGCTTCTAGACTTCAAGCCTTAATTGAAAAGGTTCTATTGAGCTAAATAAAACAATTAATACCTTCGAATTAGCTGAAATATCCTTCCAAATGTTGCCAAGTGCTCTTTGCGTTCCCAAACATCACTCCCATATGATACACCTTATCTATATTAGTACCATTTGGGGCTAGAACTGAAAAGGCAGATACAAACCTTCACGCTTCACTCACATCCCTCCATTTTTAACTTGCATTTGCCTACCAAATTAATTCCATTTCCTGCTACATGCACTTTTCCTGGACAATACTAATTCTGAAACGACAGCAATGAAAGAGCAGTGGACTGCTGTAAGTGAAAAGGAACTCGCAATGAAGGATTGTCCCAGCATCACTTTATGGAAGCACAAAGTCTTTGTAGTACAAATACTGTGTAACTTGCTTCCTCTTGTAAAGTACTAGCAAGCAAAATTATAATCAGCAGCAGAGAAAGCAAGTTACTCAGTACAGTGAATAACTGGAACTTGCTCATACCACCAGCAGGACTCAAAATAATTGCCTCTCTTTCACAGTGCTAGCAGCAAACTCAACTAAAAGCTTCGCATCTCGCAATCGGAGTCAGCCTGTCCAGAGTATGTCAGAGAATAAGTAGGTTGTCAGGATAATGTGCACACTCTCTACAAACAAAGTTTCCCCTTTCTTATTAGGAAGGAAAAGAACACTTAAAGGCAGCACAGTAAAAAGCATAATGCTTTTACTCTAGTAGCACTGTTATGCAATCCTGGTTTTGAAATTCCCATTTGGTACCTACACTGGGATCTACAGGTTTGTTGTAGTCGCACTTAAATCCGTAAGTCATTAATGCCTAAGTGCTGTTTCAGATGAGACAATTCATTGTCCTTTACTAGATGGCTCACCAACGTTAACCTGAAGAATTTTTCACAGACTGCCCTTTAACACACATCAGGGGTTCAATCACCTTCAAAACACAGCTTCCTACCCCAAAACTTCACCACAGTCTTAGCTGAAAGGCCTTGGTTAACACAAAGGTTGACTGTGTGTTGCAGGAGCAGAGCCTAAGGAAAATCTCCAAAATCCACAAAAAAACCCCACCAAACACTACAGCTTCTCATTCGGCCTATTCACAGTCCAAAAATAAAATAAAGAACAAATTAATTAAAAATAATAAAAACCACCAGCAAGCACAAACCAACACCTGGAGCTGGGTTAACTTGAACACTGGTAAAAACCATTGACCCAAGGTGATGCCAAGGTCACACAGCCAACAGCTTCACAGGCGCTTCCATTTTGGGCACCCATTGCAATTCCAAGGAAGGAGACTACACCAGTCCTGAAGACTTCATAGGACTCCCACAAGCAAATACACACCTGCTGCAGCATCATATGGTGAGGGAACCGTGTGAATCGGTTTTCTGGAAATTGTCCTCAAAGGGAACTCCTTTGCATCTGCATTTATCCCTCAGCATGAAAAGGGAAATCACGCGAAGGCTTCTTACAAACAAATCAGACTCTGGGTATTTTGTCACTACCTTACAAATAAGATAGGCAATAGAAAATGTATAAGGCTTAAGTGACATCCCTGAAGCTATATCCTAAGTCCATTGCAGATACAGCTATTGGCAGAGGGAGGAAAAAAAATGGCTCTACCATGAAAATGCAGAATAACTGCAAAAGGAATAAATCCTTTCATGTTGGTCTTGGCACAGAATGAAATGGGCAATCAACAAAGAAGCTCAGGTACCTACTTTTGCAGTCATTTTTGCCAGGAGTTCTTGCAAATCCATGATTCCTTGCACCAGACTTAAGAAATCGCTGCAGGTCGGGCATGCTCAATAAAGGAAGAGCAAAAGGAAATGGAAAGGAAGAGAAGGAAAAACGCAATAACCCGTAAATAACCAACAGTACATCAAACTTATCTGAACATAAAATGTAATCTGTTTACACAGAATTTTTGCCTTCTGGAAGTCAGCACATGCAAAAATGACAAGCCTGAAACAATTCTTTTTAATACAAAGGAAGAATTGGTATGAAAAGTCCGAAATAGAGAGAATAAAGAAATTACTACTTACTGCGATTCAGATTGGGACACTGCGTTATATAGCCATTAGGTATAAAGATGACTTTCACATCTTGAATAACACCCTTTGTAAAAGAAGAGAAAACTGGTAATACAGATTGCAAGCATTCACTTACATCTGTACAAGCTGTTGCACAAGTCATTTCTTAAATGGATACAAAAAAAACTGATCAACTCATTCTTCTCATGAGGAAAATAACTGAAGAAGGACAAAATATAACAACTCCTCCCACCTTCCTGTGTGCTTGGATATTAATTTTCATAAAACACAGAAGTAATACTTGTCTTTTGCAATCACCAAATATAAGCTGCTTAAATGTCTTAAAATGGGGTGAGACTGGTGAAAAAGCAGGGAAATAATATGCAATATTCGAGCCTATAACACACTTCTCCAAAAGACAATAGGAAAACACAGCAATACTCCTCAGCCATTTAGGGTAATATGACTGTAAAAACAAATATTGTGAAAAGATAAGGATATAGTGCAAGAGGTAAGTAAGAGTCTACACTTGAGTTGTTCGGTTTAGTTTAGCGTATTAGCTTTGTATCTCAACAGGCAGCTCATGTAACTGTGCCATCAGTTAGACCTAAATCCTTTCTCTAACCCCAGCAGATGTAAGATGCCCTATGCAGGGCCAGCAGAAATCAGGCCCCCAAGATCAGAGCCAGCTACTGCAGGTTGTATGAGGCCCGAAACCGAACTAGCCATGACAGGAGGGAGGAATCAGAAAATCAACCAAGTCGGAAAAGTCCAACCATTCC